TGCAGAATGAAGTTAAATGCGACGTTAGAATTTAAGTCCACATGTCTGAATACCGATAACACAATTGCTCCTTATGTGGATAGCGAAAAAATGTTGCAGCCCGACCTAAGAGAAGTGTACGTGCTTGAAAAGAAAAGTGAATTAGTTTGCAGTCAGCAAATATGTCCATTGTGTATGCACCCAGTAGAAAGTGAGTTTAGGTGCATACGTGAAGTGGAACTTGAAGCTATTGAGAAATTGGCTCCTGAAATGGTATGAACGATATTAAATACTTGCATATTTTGTAATTTAACAAAATTGCTTTGTAGAATATAAATATCATCAAAGATCCCGTTGTATGTAAGCCATGCTTGGATTCTCTGTGTACTCACAACAGTTTCCTAAAAGATTGCTTAGAGGTAGAGGAAAAAATTGAGAGTTGTTTTGTTGTTTCTTCAGCTACAGAAAATCAAATGGATACGTCTTCACTTGATTTATTGGTTAAGACTGAAAACTTGGACAGAGAATTCGATAGTAACGAGATGGAAATGTCCATCAAAGCTGAAAGTATCGACATAAAATCAGAAGATGAGGAAAGGAGGTAAGAGAAGACTATTTCAATATTAATTTAAAAAATAGCAGCCCGTGATTCTGATACTTCGTGAATATGAACCGTCTGACAATAAGCTAACAAATTATGAGATTATGTTGGTAAACAGTCATCAAGAGTTAGGAATTATTAGGAAACAATGTAAGATCATTATAAAACAATTAGTACGGCTTTAAATCAGATACGGGTACAAAGAACGCTATACTAAATTGCATTCATTCAATGAATTTTTTTTACTTTGGGTAGAAATCGTAATTTTCTTGGAACGAAAATCATAGACCTCTCACTGACAACGAAACTACCCCAACCTGAACACTCCGATATACAAGATTTTTATATGTGTTGTAGAACACTAAAAATTAAGATTTTTTTTTTGCGAAAAAACGGGGTGAAATCCATCCTCAAACTTCGCCCCGCAAAACAGTTTTTCCTAAATATCTGGGTTCTAATCAATATTTTAGAATGAAACAAAATGGAAAATACTTCTTATAAAAAAACAAATGTTTCACACCTCATTCCATGTTTGCGGGTTGCTACCTTTATTTTTTANAACGGTATCGAAGGTACAAATTTTTAAACAATCAAGAGTTCGGTTTACAAATTATTGCAAAAAAATGTAAGATCTTTATGAAACAATCAGTATGGCTTTAAATCGGATATTGATTGGATATTGAAGAATTTTGTACTAGATTTAATTCCTTCATTAAATATTTTTAACATCGGGCAAAAATTGCAATTTATAATTAGAGCTTATTTAAGCAGATTGCAAGAAGAAAGCCAATTTGGGCGTATTTGTACACACTGCCAACGTTCTGTACATCTCTAATTTTCAATTTTCTCGATTCACTCTTCAAACAAGCAGTAAGCTTGTTATATTTTCCAATATCTATATTTTTGTAGACCTTTATAGTAGCCTTCAACATCAAATACTTCGACCACATAGATGAAATTGCATATTTTTTCTTCAAATTTAAAAAATACGGTAGCATGACTTTTTCAATTATAGTCATTACTCTCCATTTTTTCGTAATGTTCCCTGGTTCTTGAGCTTCTTCAAACAGGAACACAATTACTTTCTTGCATTTTTACCAATTTCAGATAGAACTATTTATTAAATAATTGATAATAAACAAAGTGCCATAGCAAACAGTAGGTATAACAAAACCTACCACGTTTCATTGAGTACGTACAGTAGTAAGAAATATCAAGTTGTGCGAATATTTTTTTTATTAAATTCCAATAATTCCGACTTCACAAATATGATTGTGATGTGATTACGGATAAAGCGTTGTATTGCATTTGTGTTTTAATTGCCTTGTATCCACTTAAGAATATTAAATGCTCAAACTACGTTCTCACGTGATACAATAAATAACTTATTATCTGTTTCTGACATTTTGTTTATGGATTTATTGTATGATTTTGTACATAGCTATTAAAGTTATAAGTAATTAGTGGACTGTAAAAATTTTATAATAGTCAAAGTATAGTAAGGGATGTCGAGCAAACTCGGATTCAACTCACCATGGAGCAAGCGATTGTACAAAAAAACAAACGGAGGGGGTATTTAATGGAAAACAAAATTTAAATTAACAAGAACTTATAGAATATAAAAAATTAAGAAACCATAACAGTAGCCTTATATGCGTTTTTTGATAATTAAATTAATTATTAAAGATCTGAATCGATTAGATTTTACGTTTTGCTTAAATTGACGAGTATTCTTATCGTGGCATTACTTAAGGAGGTTTATCAGATTTGTAATTGACAAACAAATATTCATAAAAAAATAATATAAGCTTATTAATATGAAGAAAATCCTCAAACAAAATTGTGACTAGTTTGGATACCTAAGAGACGACATATTAATAAAATAATTTTTCACGATTTAGTACGAAGTCTTATGAGAATGCAGATTTTTTTGGTCTTTCCACTTTCACAGCAACTTGTATAAATAGGAAACCGATATCTAAGGAATCGTATGACAGCTTGTAGAAATCGATTAGGTACTTGTAAGATACATAATTTATAATAATTCTCCTTCAAACTGCTGTCGTTGACTAGCTTATCCTCCATATGCGTGATAGCGGCAGCGCCGCGGTCTCGATGTAGGGTATTATTTGAAATTTGCAGGTGTCTAAGCAAACAGAATGATCGAATGCGAGCGAGCCAGCCAAGTGCAACGTTGACGAATTTAAAGGCTTACTACTTTAGTCGCTAGCGAATCTACAGAAACTCTCGTTAGACTTTAGATGTACCTCCGTATCCAATAAACCTCCTTAATATTAGAATATTGTTGTGTGTGCCTTTCAAAATTTCTACCTTTTATCGTAAGGGGTGAGGAGAAGGATAATTCAAAATCCTTCCGGTTTTAATAGGTTTAAAAAGTGCAGTGGTTCTTCCCGTTGTTATGTCGTAGCAAATGTACCTGGTAGCTGCCTGTGCTAACTACAGACTTACCTTGCCAAAATGTCACAACTGATTGATCTGGATTTCTCATTAATTATTATTAAAATTCTTTATTATTCTTATTAAAAAACAAAATGCCTTGTCTTCAACTTTATGCATTCTTATTACACTAGGTTTGTTTCTGCAGCAGTTTCAAACGGTTTCCAATCGTCAGAAGCATGCGCAGATAAAAATTAGCATTTCTGCAGAACAATTTCTCAAACTGTAACTGCCAGTTTAGTGTTCGTTCAGAATTTTCAAACTGTCACGAAACCGTTGCCGATAGTTATATCAGTTGGAGATTATTTTCCAAACTACTAATCTGACGCATGCGTATTGCGAATAACCGTAAAAGATTGTTTTCTGTGTTGTGTTTTAACCACAGATGTCACGGAACATTTAACGACCATAGAAAATATAGTACTTAACGACTATATTTCTATGTTAACGACTTAACCTCTTCCACTATTTTGATTTTATTCGATTTTATTAATTATTTCTGCTGTAACCTGTAACGTTTCTGTTGTTCCTGTTGTTAGTCGTTTATTACTGTTTGTAGCTGATTCTGCCTTATAATGTAAGTATTGGCATGTGTACTTATACATTTAAAAAATATTTTCATTTATACAGTTAATTAAAATGTATTTGTGTTTTTTGTAGACGTCGGATATAAGTAGCTCGAGCTCAAGTACCTCTTATGAAAACGAATTTACTGAAGAGGATTTAATTAGTAGTGACGATGAGGATCTCCTTGTGGAGGAAAGGGAGAGACCAAAAAATCAAAATTTTGTCCAGATTATTGTTCCACAATTCAACAATACAGAATTCATCGAACACTTTCGAGTGAGTAGAATAGTTTCTGAACAGATTTCGAATCGCTTTGCAAATTCGGAGTATTTTACGTACCAGTCTGGAGGAAATGGAAAGCTGGATTCATATTATCACGTGTTGATTTATTTATGGTTTATAGGACATCAAACTGCTTCATTTCGAGATGTTGCAGACAGATTCAATATAAGCATTAGCACATTGCATAAGATAATACGAAAAATGACACATTTTCTAAGTAATTTATCACATGAAGTTATAACATGGCCATCAAATGCTGAGAAAATAGAGATAGAACATTATTTTCGAACGAAAGGGTTTCCTGGTGTTATAGGCGCAATCGATGGATCCCATGTCAAAATAGACAAACCAACAAATGACCCCGATTCTTACTTAAACAGGAAACACTTTTTTTCCATTCAGGTAAAAAATACAATTTTGCTGATTCCTTATACATTTGTGAATGTAAAAATTTAGTTTCAGGTAGTATGTGATCATCGGAGAAAAATAAGAGATATCTTTGTTGGTTTTCCAGGATCTGTACATGACAGCAGGGTATTTAGGGCATCACCTCTATCAGGGAGCCTGCCTGATAAATGCGGTCCTTTCTTTATAATAGGAGATAGTGGCTACCCCTGTCTACCTAATTTATTAACACCATTCAAAGATTTTGGTAATCTGACAAGAAGGCAACAACATTATAACCTAACATTGTCACAAAATAGGTATCTAGTGGAACACTGCATAGGTATTTTAAAACAAAAATTCAGGCAGTTATACCATGTTAAATTGAGAAGTATACCTGAAATCACACATTTCATCAGAGCATGCTGCGTTGTACATAATTTATGCTTAGATGACGATTTTCCTGATGATGCATTAAATTTAACATTCCAAAGGAATATAGAAGCTGTGTATGAGCACGAGAGGGAGAATGAGGGAAACGAAAATAGAGATGACGTGACTGGCATACAACGAAGAAGGAATGTTATGAATATGTTACCACTATAAATATTTTTGTGTAAAGAATATTTTTCTTATTAAACAGTAATCAAAGTTTTTGTTTTTCATTTAACAAATCCACTAGTATATGTTTCTAAGATTTTAAAGGTTTACTTTGGCTATTAGTTTATATTTGTTTTACACTACAATATGCACAATGAATTGTATTGAAAGTTAGGAAGAATATTACCAATCAATCTTAAATGTTCGTATTGGCAGTCTAGGTGACTGAAAACCCACTCGTACGAGTTTATACCTTAGAATCTTAAAACAGGTAGGATCATATGTTCTAAGGCTTATGTCAACACAGTGAAAGAGAACGTTTTTATTTAACCAATGAGTATATGAGTATTTAACCAATAAATATCTGACTCAATTAAAATTTACGGTAAGATAAAAAACATTTATTAAAATAAATAATAAAAACAACAGAAACCAAACATGTCTCTAGCATCTATAAACATAAAAAAATGTATAAGTTTATGTGGTTATATTTCATCAGGTAGTGTAATATTGTTCTGTACATTTAATTTTAATAACTTATTTCTCTCTTCAATTAAATCATTTTTCCTCTTTTTTTCGATATGTCTTTCATAACATGTAGTCTTTCTTTCTCTACTCCCAATTTTTCTCTCTGTATTTTTAACATTTCTTCATAATACTTCTGTTTATCTTGTCTTGTCAACTCTAAAACACTATTCTTTGCTTCTATTCTGCGACGCCGTAACCTTGGTGTCAAATTTTTACCCTTAGCTAATTGTGGCGATGGGGTAAGTCCAACAATACCACTAATAATCGTCTCATTTTCTTTATTTTTTTCAATAACGTCGCTCATTGTAGATGTTCCTTGGTCAGTGCAAATTTCATCTTGCTCACTGTCAACATTTACACTATTATTTGCAGGTTTTACTGTGTGGATAATAGTACTATCTAATAAAAGTTCTGGATGAATATTCCTCTTTTTGCCAAATATCTCTTGCAATTCTTTCTCATACATAAAGGTCTTTCGACCTCTGCCCGTTTTATTATTGTTGTCGATTATCTTTTTATAATTCCGCTCCAACACCCTCCAACGATTTTCCACTTGAGCTGGAGTAAAATTAGTACGTAAAATTTCATTAATATGGTCAGCGATAAATTCCCATAATTTTTTAAGATTCCTTATATTTAGTGTTCCTACTTTGCCACTGTTTTCTTTATAACTATTTATTAATATTAATGTAGCATTGTGGCTCCAGGATGTTTCATTACTACACGAGGACAATGGTTGTCCAAATTTTGACTTGAGATTGAGAATATGAAGGTTGATGTTGACTTTGACTCAGTTGAGTTTCTATTATTAAAAATTCTTCCAGTTCTGAAATTGTACAGAATATTTACTTTATTCGAAGTAATAGATTTTTACAAAGTTTCAACAAACCTTCCATAATTCAGCTTCTTCTTATTCTAGTTTAAATTTGGTGAATATCTGTTGCTTGTATTTCGCGGATAATAAACTGATTGAACTGTAGTCAGTATTATTTATCTAGGACTGTAGTTTACAGTTTAGTTGTTTACACATATTTGAAGGTTAGGTTCACATCTAAACAGGTAAGTCGCACGCTTCCCTCAAGATGATATCCAACTTTCCAAACTAAAATCTCCCAGATACCCAGATACGCGTTCTTGCAGTATAAAAAATACAAACCGTTCGGAAACAGTTTCCAACCGCGCACGCGCATAGGGTACAGTTTGCAAACTATCAGAAATTTGCTGCAGAAACAAACCTACTATTTGACAACATGAAAATTATTTCACTATAGTAAAAACGAAATAATGCCTTACGAAGTTCATAAACTTATAACTGAATGTTTGTTTGTGAAAATCTTTGGAAGTTACTATCCTATTGAATAATACATAATTCAATGAAGTCTAAAAGTGACGGTCATAGGAACGATAGCAAGCACTGAGTTGTTTCCGTGCGGTGGTACAAATGTACGATTGATAATTACATTTCATTGATTTCGAATGTAAATATGCCCCTTTAT